TCAGAACTGCTTTTGCTGCATCCCATAGATTTTGTGTTGTTGTGTGTTCATTTTCATTGGTTTCCAGGAAGTTTTTAATTTCTTTCTGTATCTCCATGGTAACCCATTCATTGTTCAGTAACATGCTATTTAGGCGCGTTTTCAAATGTTTTTGCATGTTCTTGTTGCAATTGATTTCTAGTTTCATGCCATTGTGATCTGAGAAGATGCTTGATATGATTTCAGTCTTCTTAAACTTGTAGAGACTTAGTATGTGCCCTAACATATAGTCTGTCTTTGAGAATGTCCCATGTGCTCTTGAGAAGAATGTGAATTCTGTAGTTTTGAGGTGTAATTCTTTGTAGATATCTGTGAAATCCATTTGATCTAGTACTTTATTTAGAGTCTGTTTTTCCTTCTTAATTTTTTGCTAGATGTTCTATCCAGTGATGTCAGTGGGGTGTAAAGTCCCCTGCTATGATTGTATTGCTGTTGATTTCTCCTTTGAAGTCCTCCAGAAGATTTTTAATAGATGTTGGTGCTCCTATATTTGATGCATATATGTTTAACAAGGTTGTATCTTACTATGGGATAGATCCTTTCAATATTATGTAGTGACCTTCTTTGTCTCTAGTTATGGCCTTCATTTTGAAATCTACTTTATCAGATGAGAGTATTGCTATCACAGGTTTTTGTTTGTTTTTTTTTGTTTGTTTCAGTATGCTTGAAAGATTTTTTTTCCATTCCTTCACTTTCAACCTATGTGAGTCTTTTGTTGTGAGGTGGGTCTCTTGTAAACAACATATATGTGAGTCATGCTTTCTTATTCATTCAGCTACTCTGTGTCTTTTTATTGGAGCATTCAAACCATTCCCATTTAAGGTGATAATTGATATGTACTTATTTATTGCCATTTTTTTTTAGTGTGGTTCTATTTTTCTTCCTACTTCTTCTAATTATAGCAGTCCTTTCAGCGTATCTTTCAGTGCTGGTTTGGTGTTTATATATTCCCTTAGCCTTCTTTTTTTTCTGGAAAGCTCTTTATTTACCTTCTATTTTGAATGACAGCCTTGCTGGATAGAGTAGTCTTGGATTCAGATCCTTGTTTTTCATGACCTTGATTACTTCATGCCACTCCCTTCTGGACTGCAGTGTTTCTGTTGAGTAGTCAGCCGAGAGCCTTATGGGGTTTCCTTTATAGGTAACCTGTTGGTTATCTCTTGCTGTCTTTAGGACTCTCTTTGTCTTTAATTTTTGGCATTTTGATTACTACATGTCTTGATGTGGGCCTGTTTGTGTTCTTCTTATTTGGGGCTCCCTGTGCTTCTTGAACTTGAATGCCTTCTTCCCTCACCAAATTAGGAAAGTTTTCTGGCACTATTTCTTCAAATATATTCTCAAACTCTTGCCCATTTTCTTCCTCTTCGGGGACTCCTATGATGCGAATGTTATTACATTTCCCATTGTCCCAGAGTTCTCTTACGCTATCTTCCCGTTTTTTAATTGTTTTTTTTTTTTTTTTTTTGGTGTGTGTTTTGTTTTTCTGATTGGTTGATTTTTTTTTTCTATCCTGTCTTCTAATTCACTGATCCTGACCATAGCTTCCTCTACTCTGCTGTTTAGTCCTTCCAATGTGTTCTTAATTTCTGCTATGTCATTTTTCATTCCAACTTGGTTGGTTTTCAATGTTTCTATGTCTTTACTCATGATGCTGATATCCTTACTCATGCTGTTGAACTTCCTCAGGATCATGGCTCTGAACTCTACTTCTGATAATTTGCTTAACTGCATTTGATTTATCTCACCTTCGATAGAGTTCTCTTGTTTATTTGGGATTTGTTTCTTTGTTTCACCAATTTGGCTATCTCAGTGGGTTTTGGAGCCTGCCAAATTTTCCCTGTGGGTGTTGGTGTTCTGCTTTCTGTGGCTCCCTCTACTTGGTTTGGATGGGCCTGGGCTGGCCATCGTTAAACACCACTGTCAAGTCTTACTTTCCTGGGTAGATTTGCAAGCCCAGGAAAGGTTCAGTTATCCTCTAGCTTTTTTCTGGAGGCTGTAGTCTCAGTTACTCAGTGCCTTGGAATGTAGCTCTGGTGTTTTGCATAAGAGGATTTCCAGAGGGTGGGATAGAGGCTGCGTTTTAATGAGACTCAATTTGCATTTCTTTGCCTTCATCTTGGAAAGGCTGAATCTCCTGGGGGGGGGGGTGCTCCTTTTACCAACAATTCTGGGAGGAGCACACTGGCCACCTTTCTTTGTGGCCACAACATAGGTGGCCACATTTCTTTGTGGCCACAACAAAGGATAAACTCTGAATGCCCTCCAAATCCCTGTGTCCTGGCTCTCTGCAATGTGGAGTGGGTTTGGTTTTTATTCGCCATGTGAGCTGCTGGCAGGTAAGACTGCTGCTGTCCTTGGGCTCCCAGCCCACAACCCTCTCGTGCCTCCACAGATCCTACCAGTGTCCCTAGTTATATGGTCGTGTCCTGCTGCTTTTCTGTTGCTTTTTTCTGAGGATTAGTCTTTATTTTAGTTGTAATTCCCATTTGGTCCTGGGAGATTGTCTGTGTAGTTTCTATTCACTTCACCTCCTCTAAGCCTATCTTGTGTGCAGCTGGGTGGCACAGGCCTCTCTTGTGCCCTCGCACGTTGCTGGTCCTGTGTGTAACTGGATGGCACAGTCTCTACTGGGTTGCACAGGCCTCTCTGGTGCTTCAGCACCCCGCAGGTCCCATGGGCAGGCAACTGGATCATACCAGTCCCTCTGGGCCTCCGGCTTCCCACTGCTTTTGTGAGCTTCTGGACCGCACAGGCCTCTGTGAGGCCCCAGGTCCTGATGTTCGTGGCTGGGGGGTGCTGCTTCCCCATGGGGCTCAACTCCTGTTCATCTTTTGCTGTAGTTTTTGGGGATGGGTCTCAGCTGCTGGTCTGTGCTTCTGTTGCCTGGGGATGGATGTCTGTCCCCCGGCCTCTGTTGCTTGGGGTATATCCCAACTGTGATGAGGTTGTTACTATGAGGGATGGTGCTGGGCTCCCGGCTGTCTGCAGCTTCTGCGATTGGCAGCTTGGAAGCTCAACTACTGTGCACTGGTCTGTGTTGACAGAGAATGTCCACTGATCTGAAGGTGCCAGGTGCACTGGTTGCTCCCACTGCCTCCTCCCAGGGAAGACCCAGGATCTTCCAAAACGGTGAGACCTCCCTGCATCGCAAGGAGAAGTGCCCTGAAGAGCCCCTTACCATGGTAGCCGACTGTTCCTGTCCATAGCACAGGAACCTTCTCTGCATCTCTGCCCTGCTCAGTTTTTGTCGTCCACCTTCACGCCCACTCATACTCTCTCACATACTAGCTCACACTCTCACACACTCATCCTCCCTCTTGTCCTACTTGCCTCCATCTTCCTCCCTAAACTCTACTATACAATATCCCCCCCCCTTTCTGTTTGAATTATCTGTTGACCAAAGGTTTAAACAATGCCAAAAAGATTTTCAGTGGTTCTAGATGAAGAAGTTTTTTGAAGATTGTTTCCCTTACCCACTTCCTTAAATAGTCCTTTAATGCTGCATACCCCATTTTGTCTGGCAGTCACACTCTCCCCACTTTTTAATTGCCAAGGCAAAATAATGATTACAAGTATATGATTATGTAATTATTTACATATGTGCAGTTTAACAATCCAGTATTACTTGAATAATTTGCCAACTCCCCCTTCCCACATTTGTATTTATCTTAAGTGCGGACTTATTTCCTCTAAGCACACACAGCCAAAAAGCAGTAAATGCCAACTCATAGTCTAATTTATTTTCCATGTTTAGTAGTGTTGTTAAAATATTTGCTGTTCATTCTCTATTCTTTTATTTATTGTACACACTTACCATTGACAGGCTTATGTCTTCAATATACCCATTCCTGAGTTCTTGATTCTTTTCAGATCCCATTTGCCTCACATGGAACATGCTGATCAATAGTAGAAGGAACTGTGCAAGCGAATCCTTGTAAATATCTGTATAAAATTATATTATGGTACTACACCAATTAATATTGGAGTGACTAAAGTACCTAGTGGGATTTATTTTTGAGTGGCACTGCATCTCTTGGTCATTATGAAGAAGTATGGCCTCTTCAAAGCACCATTTTTGTCCTGTGATAAGAGGTATAAGGTGTGGGTGAACTTTTGGATGTATTAAAAACAACAACAACAATACTCCAAACCCTCATGGCTAAACCACAAGCAAAATGCAGTTGGGTTAGGGGAGGGAGAGATACTTTATGGGTTGAGCTGCTGTGGAGTGAGATGCCTTTGACATCTCTCTTGACCCTTAGGGTTCCCTCACTATGTAATGATTACATTTATTGGAAACCATCAGTCTATACTGGAATGAGTAGCTACACCATACAGAATCATAAATTTAATACAGTGTCTAACATCTGCACTGAAAGATGCTGGATGAAAAAACTCTTGAAATTAAGGATCATTTAATATCACCCCTTAACTTATCATAGACTTAAGTTATTCAGCACGAACTCCTTTTGTTTCCACTTGCCTGACAACACTTTGAATTGTACTTATCCTGTTGCTCCCTCCCAGTATAACTATTGCCCATATATTCAGTGTTTGATGGTTCTCACACTTATAAATCATTCTTAATTAAGAGTACCCTCTCTTGGAGTGTAAACTACCAAAGCTAGAAAAAATATGTCTCATTTGTGTGACTTGCATAGAATCTTAGAGTTAGAAAAGAGACTTGGGTTGATACTGAATGATATTCTGTTTATTGGCCACACTGATTTCACTGTGATGTAGCAGACTTCCTGATTGGATAGTTCTTTTGTCTTTTGGAGGTGGTTTTATTTTTCTAAGAAGGGAATACATTTTTTTGGTTTAATGAGAGTTTCCTTACAGAAGATGCCTAGGCCTTTGCAGGAACCTCACCGATGGGAATGAAGCAGGGTTTGTATACCTTCTCTTTTGAACTTGATGAATGATGATGGAAATCGAATGTCCTATGTTTTATCTTCCAGGTGATCATTTGAAGATCTGTCCCCAGGGTTATACTTGCTGCTCTCAAGAGATGGAGGAGAAGTACAGCCTGCAAAGTAAAGATGAGTTCAAAAGTGTGGTCAGCAAACAGTGCAATCATTTGCAAGCCATCTTTGCTTCCCGTTACAGGAAGTTTGATGGTATGTATTGGAACTTTGGTCCAAGTAAGCATCCACGTTTGCTTTGTTCCTGAATTTGTTTTACACCTTTCATTCAAGTCACATTTAAGAGCTGATAGTTAAGTTTGTATAGTTGCTTTTTCAGAGCTCCTTTGTTCTCTCACTGTTCAAGTTTTCTCCTAGGATGTTACTTCTTATTGGATCCCAGGGGCAAGATAGCCCTACAGCTTTATTGCTAGAATCTTTCTGGATGCACTAAAACTTATATGGTAGGAATTATGGAAATATGGTCACGAGGAGCCAAAAAATAGATTGAAGTAGTTTAATTAAAATGCTTTTTTCCCTCCTTTTCTTGAGTGAACACAGAATAGTGTTATTGATGCATGGCACTTAAAAAAATCTTCCTAATAAAAAGCAGGCATCTGAAAACATAGTTAAAATAACTGTAGAGATTCTACAGATGCTGGACTTCAAATTAAATTTCTAAATGGATTCCCCAAAGACAACTAGAAGCTCTGTAGAACACAGACAGGATCAAAGCTCAGTTCTTCGGTTTCCATGCAGCAGCAACCCAGAGGTAGTTAGTATACTATAGCCTTGACTAAGTTGGTCTCCTTCCCTGGTCTCATTTTAGTGGTGCTGTGGCTTAGTCTAGCCATATAAAACCACAACCAAACCCATTTCAATCCTCTGTGCCAAACAGGGATTCTCACATGCACACTTTATTTAATAGTGAAGAAATAAATAGTCAATATGAGGCAATTGAGAAGCACTTCATATCTGAAGCAGTGTTACAGATTAAAGATTTTTAAAAAATTAATTTATTTAATTTTTATTTACTAATTTGTTTTTGTTGCAGATGTTTCTCATTTCTCCCCCATTGACACCCTCCTCCCCTTTCCCTTCCTGCCCCATCCCCAGCTTTGTTGCCTATGTTCATTGGTCATGCCTCCATGCATGTAAGTTCTGTGGTTTATCTCTTCCCCCCAAAACCCCTCCTCTGAGGCTTGTCATCTGTACCCCACCTCTGTGTCTCCAGATAAAGATTTTTAAAATAAGTATACAGGGTCCAAAACACCCCAGGATTATTTTCTTTGGTGCTGTTCATGCAGTTTGAAGGTTGTTATGAAGTAGATTGAATTTTAATAGGAATGATTTCCTTTGTGCTTTTTTAAAGGCCATTCTAATTACATAGTACCTTTGAAGCATGCTTTTCTTGACATTGTGTGTGGTGAAGAAGTACAAGGCAAATTTTTGAGATGCGAAATATCTTTGAGTATTTCCACAAAGGGCTTGTTACCATGGTGAGAATCTGGACTAAATTAGATTCGATAGAGACGGCAGTCTTTGGCTAAAGAACAGGTTGTATTTCAAATACTGGCTTTGAGATTTGTTATTTGAGAATTATAAACACTTTAACAAGTGTTAGTTGGGTTCCTAGGCTATTCCACAAAAGCATATTTTATTTGTAATATAGTTGAATTATTTTCTTTGTATCATACCGTATATTGTACTCATTTCCCCTGACACTTTGTGTGCAGATTGTATGAAAAGTTATGTTTAGTGTTAATTTTATCTTCTCTTTTCCCTGGATGGATGGAAATAATTTCCCATACCTCCCAACACATATACCACAGTGTTATTGGCAAAAGACATCATTAGACTGTCTCTATCTCTCTTGGTCAGTAAATTATTAGGTGTGATTGTTGAAAAGAATGGTATTCTCTTAACTATGACAATTCTCGTCCAAGACAGTAACCAAAGCACTTTCTTTTGCTTTGAGGAGAAAATTTAGGAAGATAGTCAGATGGTCATCTTTGAAAACTTGAGATGCTGATATTTAATAATGACTACTTGGGGGATTAAGAAGTAAATTACAAAGTAAGATGGAATTTAGAAAGAAAAAAAATCCTGCTATTTAGAAATGGCTAGCATGTTAGTAGCATGACGAGGTATAGATAAAGCTATCTATAGGTTCCAAGGCCAGCTCCTCCAAATCACCCCATTTCTCATTAGACATACCTACTCTTTTGGAGCCCACAGAGAGTGGCTTTCTTGTCTGTGAGCCTGCTGACTTGGCTATTCTTTCCCCTTCTTCCTCCCTGTGGTTTTATAGCATTACTTGTATGATTCCAATGTGTAGTTTTTATTTTTCATTTTTTTAAATCCTTATTGTTGAATGTATTACAGATGTTCCTCATTTTTCCCCCATTGACCCCCTTCTCCCCACTCCTGCCTTTTCCCACACTGTTGTCTGTGTCCATTGGTTATGCATATAAGTTTTTTGGTTTATTTCTTCCCATCCCCCAACCCCTTTCCCTTTGAGGTTTGTCAGTCTAGCAATGAAACTGTACTTCTTAATCCCTTCACCTTTTTCACCCTTTCCCCAACCCCCTTCCCATCTGGCAACCAACAAAATGTTCTCTGTATCTATGAGAATGTTTCTGTTCTGCCTGTTCATTTTGTTTGTAGATGACATTGTCGATAGATATGTATTCATTGACATTTTGTTTGTTCATATATTTTATCTTTTTCTTCAAAAAGACCCTTCATCATTTCATATAATAATGGTTTGGTGGTGATGAACTCCTTTAACTTTTTCTTGTCTGGGAAAGTTTTTATATGGCCATCGATTCTAAATGACAGCTTTGCAGCATAGAGTAATCTTGGTTGTAGGTTCTTGCTTTTCATCACTCTGAATATTTCTTGCCACTCCCTTCTGGCCTGCAAAGTTTCTTTTGAGAAATCAGTTGACAGCCTGATGGGAACTCCCTTGTAGGTAACTAACTGCTTTTCTCTTGTTGCTTTTAAGATTCTCTCTTTGTCTTGAACCTTTTGCATTTTGATGATGATGTGCCTTGGTGTGGGCCTCTTGGGGTTCATCTTGTTTGGGACTCTTTGTGCTTCCCGGACTTGTATTTCTGTTTCCTTCACCAAGTTAGGTAAAGTTTCTGCCATTATTTCACACAGGTTTTCAATTTCTTGTTCTCTCTCTTCTCCTTCTGGCACCCCCAAGATGCGAATGTTGGCATGCTTGAAGTTGTCCCAGGGGTTCCTCACACTAGCTTTATTTTTGTGAATTCTTTTTTATTTTTGCTGTTCTGATTGGGTGTTTTTTGCTTCTTTATATTCCAAAATCAATGGTTTCCTTCTTGGCTTTACCTACTCTACTATTGAATCTGTGTAAATTATTCTTTATTTCAGTTAATGCCTCCTTCATTTCTGACTGTGCATCCATCATTTTTGACTAGTCCTTTTTTATGCTCTTCAGGCCCTCACTAAGTTCACTGAGGTTCTCACTAAGTTCATTGAGCATCCTTATAAGCAGTTTTTGAACTCAGCATCTCTTAGGTTGCTTATCTCCATTTCACTTAGTTCTTTTCTTGGGGTTTTGTTCTGTTTTTTAATTTGGAACCTGTGTCTTTGACTCCTCATTTTGGTTGCTTCCCTGTGTTTGTTCTGTATATTACTTAACGAGATGTATGGGGCTATCTGAGACCAGATGCTGCTTATTTGAAGGAATTTAGGAAAACCTGAAGCAGGATCCAAGACAGGGCAATCCTATGGTTAAGCAAGTGGCAACAGCTTGGGTGGGCCTGAAAGTTGGGTGGGGCGGGGCCTCAGGGAATCACCAGGGTGGGGCTACCAGTGTGAGCCAGGTTGCTGGAGTCCCAGATATGGGGACTGTCTGCCACCTCAAGGAAGGGCTCATCAAAGGAACAAAGGCCTCTGACAGCACATTTGTCCAGGAGAAAGCCCCCTTTCCAGGCCTCGCTCCAGTGCCAAGTAGCTTAGTTCTTCCCTGTGTGTCTCTGGTGCCCCTCAAGCTGCCTCCCCTCCAAGCTTAGAGGGAGAGAGTCCGATAAGTCCGTGCGCGGGCCCTTTAAGGAGCTGCCTGGGGCTCTAGCCGCCTCAGCTTCCCTGAGCCTCAGTTCCTGCTGGTTTTTCCAGCCAGAAGTTATGGGGATTTCTCTTTCTGACACTGGAACCCTGAGAGGGGCGTGTGGTGTGGACAGGGACCCCTCAGTCCTCAGGGAGGACCTTCCCAGCCGAGGTATCTTCCTGATTTTTATCCACCACATGTGGGTGTGGGACCAGCCCATTGTGCTTCCCCCTCTCCTACCAGTCCCTATGCTGCTGCTACTTTAAATCTGTAGTTGTAGGATTTCCATTCAGCTTGATTTCAGGCAGTTTTGAATGATGGTTGTTCTGTAGTTTAGTTGTAACTTTGATGTGGTTGTGGGAGGACGCAGTACCGCGTTTACCTACGCCACCATCTTGACTGGAAGTGCAATGTGTAGTTTTTAAAAAGCCATACAGTCAGTGTTAACATATGATTTTGAAAAAAGGACAGGAAAACAGTTTCTCCTGTCCTTTCCTTTCAGAGTTGACATTCAATAAAAGTTTTTACACTGTTTATCAGTTTCAAAACTGGTCACAAAAATGATTATGAAATGCCAGTTTTTTTCATCAAACTTTAAAACATGGCATAGACAATAAAATATAGTAAGCATAGATTAATATTTTAAGTATTTGCTGAAATGTATTTGTTCTGGAGATCAGGACAGAGCTGGTGTATGTTGTATAATTCTTCCAAGTTAGGTTTTGTAAGACAGTTAAATACTTTTATGGTAAAACCTCAGTTGACTGGTATCCAACAAACCATAAACCTCAAGTGAGTTCTGCATTTATTGATTGATTGATTTTTAATCCTTAAGGCCTAAAGAAATTGTTGAATAAAATTGTATGGGGAATGCCTTGACTCTCAGAAATTCAAGGGTAAGGTACTTTGGTTAAAGATCATTATAAAAGCCAAACCTAGGGTTATTGCTGTGAATGAAAAGAGGAAGTAGGGCAGAGTAGCTAGCAGGCAGCCAGGGAACCAAAATGAGGGTTGGGTGCAGTGAGGCATCACAGAGAAGCCTAAAGACAAGTAATGAAGAAATAGGAAAGGGACACATGGAAACCCTGTAGAGTCAAGCAACTTCAAAGGGGCATATTTTGCTATATTCAAGACTGCA